TTCCTTCTTAACATTTGACCACAAGTAACAATCTCTACAGTGCTACAATTGCCTTTCACAGGCTAAAAAGCTTTGAGACATTTAAAGGGCTAGGAGGTCCTCAAATAACATACATCTCATTGGCTATTTTTTTTGATTCATAAATTCTTAATCTATATTCTGATAATCACATTATTCTTTCAGGACCTGATTTTAAATATTGAACAAGGTATCTTTTATTTTGTCCCATTCTCAATTTAAGAAGCAGTTTGGAGGGGCTGGGAAGATGGCTCAGTGGTAGAGTGCTTGCCTTGCATGCCTGAGGCCCTGGGTTCGATTCCTCAGCACCACATAAGCAAAAAGAAAAAAGCCGGAAGTGGCGCTGTGGCTCAAGTGGTAGAGCGCTAGCCTTGAGCTGAAGAGCTGAGGGACAGCACCCAGGCCCAGAGTTCAGGCCCCACGACCGGACCTCAAAAAAAAAAAAAAAAAAAAAAAGAAGCAGTTTGGAGAGGCATAGGGTTACTTACATTAATATTTAGAAGTTTTTTTTTTTAATTGTGAAAATACTGTACAGAGGGGTTACAATTACATGGGCAAGATAATGAGTACATTTCTCATCAAGCATTGTAGCCTCCTCCTTTGTTTCCCCTTCCCATCCCTTCCCACCCTCCCCCTGACCTCCCACCCAGTCTTCCTCCTCCCCACCCCCACCAAAGTTGTAAAGTTCGTTTCTCGACATAAACGACTTGTACATCTCATTGTTGCAATGGATCTACCTGTATCCCTATTTAAACCTTTTGTTTTTTTCCTTTCCCCTCCACAAATTATACCATCAAATACAGTGAAAGCAGGGGTTATACCGTGGGGAAGGGACATGCAAAGCAACAAAGAAATCATCTTATAAATGTGTTAGAAACAATCGCATGAAAGAAAAAAACATTTGAATACATATCTTAGGATTCATTTCCCTAACATCAACTTATCTGACCTTTTCTGCTTGACTCAGACATATACTAGATATTGCAAATAAGGGAAACCATGGGACCTATGTTTCTTTGGGCCTGGTTTACTTCACTTAATATAATTTTTTCCAAGTCTTTCCATTTCCTAACAAATGGGGCAATGTCATTCTTTCTGATGGAGGCATAGAATTCCACTGTGTATATATACCACATGTTCTTGATCCATTCGTCTACTGAGGGGCATCTGGGTTGGTTCCATATCTTAGCTATGGTAAATAATGCTGCAATAAACATAGTCGTGCTGGTAGCTTTACTGTGGTCTTGTTTGTGATCATTTGGGTAAATGCTCAAAAGTGGGATTGCTGGGTCATAGGGGAGATCTATGTGGAGTCTTTTGAGGAACCTCCATACTACTTTCCAAAGTGGTTGAACAAGTTTACACTCCCACCAACAATGAAGTAAGGTTCCCTTCTGTCCACATCCCCTCCAGCATCTGTTGTTGTTAGAGTTCTTGATTATAGCCATTCTAACTGGGATGAGGTGGTATCTCAAGGTTGTCTTGATTTGCATTTGTTTTATGGCTAGGGAGGTTGAGCATTTCTTCATGTGTCTATTGGCCATCCTTCTTTCCTCTTCAGAGAAGTTTCTCTTCAAGTCTTTAGCCCACTTATTTATTGGGCAGTTGTTTCTTTGTTGTTGGGGGATTTAATTTTTTGAGTTCTAGGTATATTTTAGATATGAGACCCTTGTCTGTTGTATGGCTAGTAAAGATCTTCTCCCAAACAGTGGGCTTTCTATTGATCTTGCTAGCTATGTCCTTTGCCATGCAGCTCTGCAGCTTCATGCAATCCTATTTGTCCAACTTTTCTTTGATTTGTTGTGTTTCTGGGTCTCTACTAAGAAAATTTTGGCCTGTGCCAGAGAGACCTACGGTGTGTCCTATTCCATCCTGTAATGTTTTTAGAGTGTCTACTTTGATTCCGAGGTCTTTGGTCCATTTGGAGTTGATTCTGGTACAGGATGATATATAAGGATCTAACTTTAGTTTTCTACAAGTAGTTAACCAATTTTGCCAGCACCATTTACTGAAGAGGCTGTCTTTCTTCCATTCTATTTTTTTTAGCTCCCTTATCGAAGATTAGATGGCTATAGGTCTGTGGGTTCATTTCTGGGTTTTCAATTCTATTCCATTGGTCTTGAGGTCTGTTCTCTGTTCTTGTGCCAGTACCAAGCTGTTTTGATTACTATGGCTTTGTAGTAGAGTTTGAAATTTGGTATTGATATTCCTCCAGCACTGTTCTTTCTGTTGAGGATCGTTTTTGTTATTCGGTGCCTTTTATTGTTCCGTATGAATTTTTGGATTGCCTCTTCCATTTCCTTGAAGAATGAGGTTGGAATATTGATAGGTATCGCATTGAATTTGTAGATAGCCTTGGGAAGTATTGCCATTTTCACGATGTTGATCTTTCCAATCCAGGAGCATGGGAGTTTTTGCCACTTTCTAAATTCTGCTTTGATTAGAAGTTTGTTTTTTTTTCTTTTAATGGTGTTTGGGGTTTGAACACAGCCTCAAGTATGTTAAGTAAGCATTCTACAACTGAGTTACATCAATAGCTCTAATTTTTTAATCACATAATTTAAGTGTTTCTGCATTCATCTGACCACCCTGTTTCATTCGTTTGTTTTGACTGGCATGGGGGCTTGAACTCAAGTACTGGGACTCAATCTCCTTTGGTTTTTTCACTGAGGCCTGGTGATCTACCACTTGAATAAGGTCTCCAGTTCTGGATTTTACATCCTGTTTTATATCAGTGTCCAAAATTTCCAATATCTGCATCCTTTTGATCTCTTTCTTTACAGCCCCCACCCCTTACTCCTCTCACCCCTGTCTTGAGCTCAGGGACTTAAGCATGCCCCTTAGCTTTTCTTTTTCTATTCAAAGCTAGCGCTGTAGTACTTGAGCCACGCCTCCATTTCCAACTTTTTGGTAGTTAATTGAAGATCTGTCTCACAGACTTTCCAGCCAGGGCTGACTTCAAACTATGATCTTCAGATCTCAGTCCCCTGAATATCTAGAATTATGTGCAGGAGCCTTTGGATTCACTTTACTGTCTTATGTTTCTGCCATGTGTTTGGAGTGTTGGACTTCATCTCCTCTCTCTTTACCCCCAACTCTGTAAACTACCTTCGTAAACATTTAAATTAAATGATTGATATGGCTGTCTCCACATGTTCTTATGTCCTGTTAGTTTCTGTAGAATAGTGGAGTTACATTAAGTCATAGAGGAGAGTATTTGCTTTTTCCAACAAATTTTAAGCAAAAGGAAAAAATATGACTGAATAATGGATTCATTATTTTTGTGTATATGGTAAGAACTAAAGAAATACAAGTTACTTAGGAGTATTCTAATACAAACAATAATGAAGGCAAGCAGGTCATATGCTAAGGAAAAGTCTCAGTCAATAAGTCACTGCAACAAACTTGAAAGCTATATAAGTGAAAAGAATATTAAGTCTGGGAAAGTGGCTTAGTGGTAGAGTGCTTGCCTACTATGTATGAAGCCCTGGGTTTGATTTCTCAGTACCACATAAACAGAAAAAGCTGGAAGTGGTGCTGTGGCTCAAGTGGTAGAGTGATAGCCTTGAGCAAACGCAGCTCAGAGACAGTGCTCTGAGTTTAAGTCCCCGGACTGGCAAAAAATATTTAATTAATAAGAATATTATTTTCAAAAGTGTCAGGAATTGAAACATGAAGTACAATTATACAAGTCAATATTTTAAGTAATGTGATATACAGTAGAATTTCCTGTTTTTCCATTAAAGTTAAGTGAGCCATTCTGTTTAATTGTTTAGCTGAGAAATAAAATGGAAGTTTAAAATAAGTTTGGTGGCAATTTATGTGAATTTGGGTTAGCTGTTTGGTGACCAACATGTCATGGTTTTACATTCTGCAGAGTCTCATAGAACTTCTGAGTGAACATTTTAGTTGAATTCCTGTCAGATTTAAATAAAAAGAATGATGCCTAAAAGCCAGGTATGATGGTGCATGCCCATAAGTTCATCACTCAGAAGTCTGGGGCATGAAGATTCTGAGTTCCAGAGTAGCCTGGACTATATAATGAGGACCACGTATCAAAAATTAAATTAACCAAGATATTACAAAATAATGTCCTCAAGGAACTCATCGGATCAGATCTTGAGCCTTCTTCTACCTTCCTTATGTTCCTCATAGAAAATATGTAGAGAGTAAAGAGTTGAAAATGTTCTAATTCCCAGTTGGGAATGTAAAAAAGAAAACCTAAAAAGTTAGTTTGACCATTGTTAAAATGGTAAGACAGATTATTTACTACTCTTGAAATAGGTGTCAAGTCTATTGCAGTAAAGATGCAGAACCCAGCTCAACTTCGCATACAACAAATCCAGCTGGGGATTTATAGCCATCTAAGTGAGTGGGTCAAAGGGTAGGATGCTAACAAGAGGAGACATCAAATGTATGGGATTCTTGGCGAGTTGATTTAACAAGATTCTTGCTGAAGGAAGGAGGTCTGGGTGATCAGATATCAAGGACAGAGGAAGAAGAACTGAAATGGATATTGATAGTGATTAGATAGCAAAGGTTTGTGTGGAAAATTCTCACTAAACTGATTTAGCAGGATTCTTGTTTCAATTGGTCTAGGCAAGACAGGGCCTGAGAAGGAGATGCAATTAAAAAGAGCTTCGGAACAGTGTCCTGACTGACGTGTCATCAAAAACTGTCTGTTAATACCAAATTGCTTCTTCTGTTAAACCAGCATGTGCCGCCCCTCCATCCGTTCCTGCAGCCCCGAGGCTCTTTAACAAAATAAAATTATGGTTATGGAAATTCTAAGGGGGCTGGGAACACACTTTGGTCACAAGTCAAAAGGGCATCGGACTACAACTCCCATAAGCCAACGCAGGCGGCGAGTTGGCTATCCCACCCCCAACCCCGAGAAGTGCGCCTGCGCGGAAAATCTTGAGCGGCGTGGAAAATCCTGCGCAGAACGAAGTGGGCGGTGATAGCCTAGCTGAAGAGAAGGAGGAGGAGCAAAGAAAAAACGACCATAGATTTCTCGGCCTAGAGCGGCCCTTAAAGTGCCGAGTTAAGGAGGGCGGGCGGGAACCACCCCGAACTGGCCGCCGGCGGTATCATGGCGTCCCGGAACCCCCCTCCCCAAGGTGAGCGGCCGGGGCCCAAAGTCGTATCTGGGACGCGGCTCACAGCTCTCGACCTTGCTTCCTCCCTTTGCTCCAGGGTTCCTGGGGCTGGCTCTGTTTTGAGCACCCCTTTTGTACTAGTCACCCTACCTTTCGCGGAACTCAAGCTGAAAGCGATCCCCCTCCCCCAACACAGCCTTGCCCTACCTCGTCCCTGGCTCTTAATCTTCATTTTCAAACGGCTTTTTTTTTTTTTTTTTTGAGTTCTTAGATTTTTTTTTTCCGTTTTTTTTTTTCAAACTCCCACTCTAAAGTGATTTCCCCTCAGTGGGTTGGTTTTGACCTCTTCCGGAGGACCCCCCCCCTCCCCGCCTCCACTGATGAAAAGAATCTTCCTGCCTTAATCCTGGTGGTCAAGGGTGACCTGTCATAGCCGGGTAACGCAACTGACCAGGTCTCCATGTCCCCAAGGCCTTCCCTGGGCTTTTGGCTAGGAAATGGGGTTATTATTGCTAGGCCCCTTATTCAAGCCCCTGGTCTCAGGAGTTGAGTTAAACACATTCATTAATTCCCATATGAGCATTTTCAGATGTAGGCCAAAAGTAACAGTAGAAAGTGAATTTTGACGTACATATATATCATATATAAACACACATATGTATCGATACGTATAGATATATATGTATCGATACATATATATATATATGTATCGATACATATTTGACATATGTATCGATACATATATATCTATACGTATCGATACATATATGTGTATACATATTTCTGACTGTAGATTGACTCGATTAATTTTTTCCATTTTGTATTTTGAAGACTATGAGAGTGATGACGACTCATACGAAGTGTTGGATTTAACTGAGTATGCAAGAAGGCACCACTGGTGGAATCGAGTGTTTGGCCACAGTTCGGGACCTATGGTAGAAAAATACTCAGTAGCTACCCAGATTGTAACTGGTGGCGTGACTGGCTGGTGAGAACAGCATTTTTTTTTTCCATGTATTTTTCATCTGTTTCATTAGGAAGCTGACAACGTTTTGTAAATGGGCTAGGGTCCCTGTGCATGTTCAGTGATCTATACTATTAGTTATAGGAGAGTCCTACTTTGAGCTTTTCCCTATGATATAATTAGTGTGATCTGGGACTCCCTGTTGAATTCTGATCTTCTTCCTCTTTGTCCACCAGAGTCACTCTTCCTTCCTTACTCCTCATTGAATTCTTAGATAGTCTTCCTTTTCTCAGGCCCAGCAAATGTACTATATTTGTTTCACTGATAGAAGATGGGAAGAAATATGAGAGTACTGAACATCAATTTTTACTTACCATTTGTGCTAGCAACTGAGTAAACCTGTCAGAAACTCCCACAGCAAACCTGGTCCCTGGAATTGTCTATCCTGTAGAGAGAGTACTGTAAACTTCAGGAAAAATTACTAATGATGGGCTGCAGGCATGGCACACTTAGTAGAGCATTGGCCTAGCAAGTGAGAGGCCCTAAGTTCAAACCCTGGTAACTGCAAAAGAAAAAAAAAAGCATATTGATAACTACAACTGATTCTGTTATGTTTTGTGGGCTGGTTCAGATTATGATAAAGTTTTAAGAATTGAGAACATTGGCTTTGTGTTGGTAACAATAGACTGATTGCTTATTGTGCAATAATATTGTGGAATACATTAAGGAATAATAAATACTAATCAAACAGATAAATCACATTATTTCATGGTTATTACTGTGGTTCAATTCCTATGATTTTTGGAATAAAAAATTAGTAAGGTAATGAGGGGCAGAAACAAATTGGATCCTTTTGAAAATGTTAATGCCAAGAATTTTTTGAAGTTAAGGTGTTTAACTTGTGAATAGTCTTTTTTTCTTTACATTTTAAGTTCAATTCATCTAGGGTGAATATTTCCATTTAGTATATTTAGGTTAAAATTTTTGACTTGTATTTTCCTTGCATTTTGGAATAATGGTACACTCCTTTATGCCTTTTTTGTAAAGGCCACTTTATGATAGAAACACCCATTGTGAAGATATTGTGGCACAGGGATGCGGTATTTCTTTGTGATGTGTACTAATTAACACTTCTTTATGAAAAAAAAAGCCTGAAAATTGAAGAGAGATTTCTGGTGAGGGCCTGTTTAATCAAACAGTTCATTATAAGCTGATTGTGTCATTTTCCCTGTAATTTGGAGTATGGCTCTCTGCTTAAATAAGCTCATAATTTGGTGCATGGTTAATAGAGCCAAAAGCTGAATATTAAAAGGTATTGACAATTGAGAAATAGAATTGTCAGATCATTGAATACTTTCTCCTTATAGACTAAATCTGGTAAGAAGCCCTGTAATTGAGTTTGCTTAGAAAGCAAAGAGACAGCAGCAGAGAAGTTAATAGGTTCATCTTGGTGACTAAAACCAACAGGCAATGAATGCACAAGCTTGTTAAGTCCTTGAAACAGACATGTTCTTGATAGTAATATATACATTTGGGTTATATACAGATATCAACCCAGAAGCTATGTAATAGGACACTAATGTTATACAAGTGATTGGTTGTAATGACTTGTTCTGTAATGTAGATTCAGTGTAGTACATTTTTGGATTCTCAAGGTATAAAACTAATATTGTAATATATTTATTAATGGAAATTTTAGTAGGTATTAATGTAGTTAGCGAGTCAAGACATGACTGAGAGGCTCAGAAATTGTATTTAGCTGTAGATTAACTAAAGGTGTTTGATCATAAGAACTTAAGAAATGGAGAAAGGAAAGATGGGTGAATGCAGCCTATTTAAGGCATATATGTGAAAATGGAACTAGGAAAGTTGAGGCAATGGTGAGATTAGGGTAGATAGGAGAGAATTATGAAAGGGTTAACGTTGATCAGCATTGATCAAAATGCATTGTACTCATAAACTGACATGTTGAATTGAATTCCCTCTATACAACTACTTGAAGATTATAATTTGTGTGTGTGTGTGTGTGTGTGTGTGTGTGTGTGTGTGTGTGTGCGTGTGTGTGCGTGTGTGTGCGCGCGCGCGTGCGTACGCGTGCATGCGTGCTAGTCCTGAAGCTTAAACTCAGGACCCGGTTACTATCCCTGAGCTTTCTCAAAGCTAGCTCTCTAACACTTGAGACACTTCCACTTTCACTTACAGCTTTTTGGTGGTTAATTGGAGATGAGAGTCACATGGACTTTGCTGCCCTGGCTAGCTTTTGTGATCCTCAGATGTCAGTCTCTGAGTAGCTAGGATTACAGGCATGAGCCGCCAATGTCTGGCAAACAATAAACAATTTTTAAAATTTAAAACTAATATCAAGATGGGTGGTTGTTAAAAGCCATGGTGACTATGAGGACTAGTTCTTGTGCCTGTATAGTGGTCTAGAGAAAGGTAGTGGAAGCCAACCTGTTTACAAGATAATGTTCCCATAAGAATAGAGGAAAGAGTCAGGTAACATTTTAGAGTTAAGTCATGGAACTTTGCATTCAGTTGTACTCAGGATGATGCCAGAAGAGGCTGTGATGGATGTGAGTGGCCAGCTTGGGGAATGGTACTATCACTTATAAACTGGAACTTTAGCAGTTTTTAGCTGGAAAGATGATATTTTACTTTTGACCACTTGGAATATGTAGTTTTGAGTACAGGATAAGCCCATCATATAATTTGAAATGTTATTTTTGGCAGGGTATGGTGACTCATGCCTGCAATCCTACCTGGGAGATGAAGATCAGTTTGAGGCCATCCTGAGCAACAAGCTAACCACACTCCATCTCAACAAAAAACTGGGGATGGTGGCATGCACCTGTCATCCTAATGACCGAGGAAGTTTAAGTAGTAGGAGGACAGCACCAGGCCATAGTGGGCAAAACATGAGAGACCTGGCCTGGAAAATAAAGCAAAAAGGATTTGGAAGTGTGGTTCAAGTGCTGGTCTCACAAGCAGAAGCCCTTAGTGCAAGCCCCAGTACTAGGGAAGAAGAGAAAGAAATTTTTCATGTAGGAAGATGTTAGTTTCTTAGGGATGTAATAATAAAGTATTACAAATTGTGTAGGTTAAAATAACAGAAACTTGTTCTTTCACATTTCTGGAGGGTAGAAGTCTGAAATCAAGCTATCAGAAGGATTGGTTCTTTCTTGGACATTTAGTGAGAAAAAAAAATCTCATGTTTATTTCCTAGCTTCTGGTAGTTGCCTGCCATCCTTGGCATTCTTTCAGTATGGCCACTCTAATCTCTTTCCCTTTGTTCTTACCACATTGTCCTTTTCCCTTTGTGTGTTTGTGTCTCTTTGAGAGGTGACTCATAGTGGATTAAGGACCTACCCTTTTCCAGTATGACCTCATCGTAACTAATTACATCTACAGTGGCTCTGTTTCCAGGTTACATTTTTGAAATCCCAGAAAGGACATGAATTTGGGGAAACACTTAACTCTGTAAAACTATAGATGAAACACTAACTCTATAAGATCTATAAATGAGACAAAATAGGCTAAATATAAAAATAGATAAGGAGGCTATGAGAAAAATGGGCTGAATTGTAGTCAGTAAACTGGAACTGCATCAAACCTTAAAGGGTAGGAAAGCTTTTGACAGGCAGAGCTAGACAGCCCTAAAATCATGAAGATTAATAGCTCAAGCTAAAATGATGACTTACTTGAACACTGAGGTAAAGTAGGCTTGAGTATAGTGGCTGTCTTCCAGGTTTACAGAACATTTTGACTGTATTAAGTGAAACAAAACAAATAATTTATTATGGGAACTTTCAGTTTACAGAAATAGAGAAAAAGGAACACAATGAACCTCTAAGTACTCATTATTCAGATTCAGTGACCACTCTTTTCCTATAAATCCTCCTTTTCTTTCCATCCCTTATTTTGCAATAAATCTCAGACATTGTAGGTTGTGCCTTTTTTAGCTTAATTTATACCATGAATTCTTCTCTCTTTTTTTTTTGGTCCAGTCATGGGGCCTGAACTCTGGGCCTGGGCGCTGTCCCTCAGCTCTTCAGCTCAAGGCTAGCGCTCTACCACTTGAGCCACAGCGCCACTTCCAGCTTTTTTCTTTTTGCTTATGTGGTGCTGAGGAATCGAACCCAGGGCCTCAGGCATGCAAGGCAAGCGCTCTACCACTGAGCCACCTTCCCAGCCGTTCTTCATTATCTTATGATTAGTGTTTCATTGAGTGGATACATTCATGGAAGCTTGAATATCTTACTAACTTTAGAAATGAATAATTCTAGAACCTTATTCTTTCAGTTGTTCATTTTTGACTAGCTTGTATGAGTATAGAGAAATATTAAACGTTGCTAAGCAGGCAAGAGGCATAATCAAAAGAAATGGGAAGACATTTAGATTTTATTAGGAAGCAATAAAAAGTAGATGGAGGAGGGTTTAGTACATAATTAATGTTCTCATCTTTTGTTTTTTCTTCCATTAAAGGTGTGCAGGATTTTTGTTCCAGAAGGTTGGGAAACTTGCAGCAACTGCAGTAGGTGGGGGCTTTCTTCTCCTTCAGGTAGGATCGAGCTTTATATATTTCCTCTGCTTATATAGATAGCCCTTGGGGACTGAGAATGTCAAGGTTAGTCATTTTAGGCCTGGTTACTTTTCCTAATTTCCCTTGACCATCTCCCTAGCAGAATGAACATTTCACCAATAATCAAACCTACTCATCCTGTAAAATAGGAGTCTTGTGGAAACGATCAGCTGTGAAAAAATGATGAGTATGAATAATATTAAAATATATCATGTAGATATATTCATGGTTACAATATGTATATATTTTATATATAATGTAATACACATGTATTATGTACATATTATCAATTTGTACATGGGATAAGGGATCTTACTGAAAGCTGTTGAATAATATGAGGGTAAAGGGTGCAGGAAAATAACAATAGAGGGGATTAATCTGAGTAAATAATAATATATTCTATTATTTCATATATATCAATAATATATTCTATTATTTCATAGTGAAATACTATGGTGAAATGCTTTTGTATAACAAAGACACAGTAAAAAGTGAAAAAAGTGAATAATAGGAAAGTAAAACAGTCTCTGTTGTAGGACAGTTGCCAGCAAGAGGAAAGAGGGTCAACAGAGGTGAATGAGGACAAATATGGTTGAAGTACTTTTATTCATGTATGAAAATAGAATAGTGAAGCCAGTTGATATTGTTTTAAGAATGAGGGAAGGGAATAAAGGAGAGTGATAGAGGGGGTGGGGTATATGGTATATTGGATGCATATAAGAAGACGTAATGAAATCTCCCTTGTACAACTAATAAATGTATGCAAATAAATAATCTTTAAAATATATACTGTTCATTCTATTTTAAACCTATATTTATAATTAGTGTGTACAAAATTCAAAAGTTTTTTTTTGCCTATTCCTAGTTATGCAGTTTTTATCCCAGAGGAAGCCGCTCTTAGCAAACTGTAACATATATTTGAAAACAAAACAAAACAAAAATCAAAGCAGGAATGGCAAGACACACCTATAAGCCCAGCACTTGGGAGGATAAGGCAAAAGGATCAAGAGTTCAAGGCCAGCCTGCTAAGCAATCTAGACTGTGTCTCAAACAAACAAAATGAACAAAAACAAATCAGTCTAACAGAACTAAAGAACCACAATAATATAGAAAGGCTGGGGTGTGGCTCAAGTGGAAGGATGCTTGCTTAACATAATAATATAGAAAGTAGAAACTTTGGTTTTAAAAAGCTATAATCCTATTTCTGAGGCAGGTGGATTAAAATTTTAGTTTTGTTCATCTTCCTTTAAGGTCTAGAAATGCCTTGCTATTAGAGGATGTTTATCAGGATATTATCCAGCATTCATGTCTGTTTGGTATATATTTTCCCCAAAATATCATTCTCTGGAGATCAAATATAGTAAATCCCCAAATTGAAAGTCTCAGGGAATAAACGTTAGCAACTATTTTAAAATGCAGAGAACTGTCAGTTATACTAGATTTTAAAAATGATTGATGTTCATAGCAACCAAAATCTGGCTTTGGTACCTAAGCCATTGATCCTGTAATAACCAGTATAGTTGCCTTAAGTTCAAAGAGACAGGATTTATATGTGTTAAGCACTTACTTTGAATTATCTACTAAGCAGCTGTTTAAATGATGTATTTTTTTCTATTAGTGACAGTATTAGGCATAATTACTTATTTCCTGTGGTAAGAGGTAGAAAAAGAATATGATTAACATCTAAATTTAGTCCTTTGGATGAATATGCCAGTTTATACAGAAGAGAATTTTTCTTAAGCTGATTTTGACTTTGTATAGAATTAAGAACATATTTATTTCTATCATTGTTGTGAAAACTCAGTTGTCATTTTTGTTCAGGGCAAGAAGGTACTGGATTGAGAAAGAGCTTCCTAAAATGTTCATAGAATAGAGACAATTAGATATTTTATTTTATTTATTTATTTTGAGAATTGTGCATTTTAATCTCCTCTGCATGTTAGTTGTTCAAAAGTTTGTTTCAGTCCACTCACTGTGTGCCATTCAAAACAATGTTTTATCGTTGCCACTTCCTACTTTTCCACATTCATCCATGTGTTTGTGGAAGTCTACAAGGCAAATAACATAGGCCTTGTCAACACCAAACCATTTTCCCCCCAAATGCCATTTGCCTTGAGAACTCAGTAGGAGGCATCTGAAAGAGGAAGTAAAGGAATAAATGGCTTTTAGACTAATTGCCTAATATTCCTCAGGTCCACTTCTATATTTTTATAACTTTTACTTAAGATGTAACTATAACTGTTGCTGTACTTAAGACATAAAGCTTTTTTCTAATAATGATACTGTTTTCCAATAGATACTTATTATGGCTGGTCTGAATGCAGTAGCATTTACAACTAATTGATTATAACCAGCTACAGAATTTTATTTCTTTTCCACTCCCACTGCTTCACTTTACTTAAAAAAAATAGACAACTAGTTGTCAGTGGCTCACAGCTATAATCCTAAGCTACTCAGGAGACTGAGATCTGAGGATTGAGGTTCAAAGCCAGCCCAGACAGGAAAGTCCATGTGACTCTTCTTCAATTAGTAAAAACCTGAAAGTGGCACTGTGGCTCAAGCTCTCACCTTGAGCAAAATGCTCAGGAATAGCACCCAGGCACAGAGTTCAAGTTCCAGCACACACACAGAAAAAATAGCATAAAACTTTTGGGTGTTTTTGAAAGTTTTACATTTCTTGATCTTTCAGTTTTAGTTACTATTGGCTTACTTGTATGGAATATGAGGATTTAGCTATCATTTGTTGAACTGTTTTATTCTCTGAACACACTCCCATCTTAAACACCTGAATGTATTCTGCCTCTTCCACTGCCCCACCCTGCCCCATCATGGGTATTAATTGTGTAAGATCATTACCTGGAGTACATTGAGTCTCTTATGTCTTTATGTTTGAGAAGGTTTGGGCCATTATTTCTATTAGAAATTTTGAGATTATTTCATTCATTCATCCATCCATTTAGAAGTACTGGGATTTGAACTCATGGCCTTTTGCTTATTAGGCAGGCATTCTACGGATGACCCAAACTTCCTTGAGTTTTTTGCACTGATTATTTTTGAGATAGGGTCTTGCTTCCTACCCAAGTGTGTACCACCAGGCCCATCCATCATCATCCACTGAGACATAGCCTCAGTGACTTTTCTGTTTAACCTGGTTGGAACTACAGTCCTCCTATTCTCAGCCTCCACAAAGCTGGGATAACAGTATGCCTCAGTGCCCCAATGTTGGTCTGGTTGGTGTGCTGGTTGAAAAGGGATCTCAGGAACTTTTCTGCTCTAGCTGTCATTGAACCATGATCCACCTTTTCTCAACCTCCCAAACATTTTAGGATTATAGATGTGCACCCATGGCACCTATCTGTGATTATTTCTTTTTGTGTGCCTGACTGGGGGGGGGGGAATTATTTCTGTAGAATAGTAGTTGACTAAATCTTTTCTTTTGAGCCTATGTATCAGATAGTCTGTCAGTTTAATATTCTTGACAAATGTGCCTCAAACTCTTTTGCCTGCTTGTTGTCTAAGCCTAGTATATAGCTCTTATCCTGGGGTCTCTCTTCAATATCATTTTGCCTATGTCCTTTGCTTTTGTCTTGAATCTTTTCCATTTCCATTATCATATGTCTTTTTGGTGTATCCTCTTGTTTTGATGGGACATATCTTTCAGTAACTTCTGGAGGAAATGAACACAGGAAGTGTACTTTCTGATGTGCTTTTTGAGACTTGGCATATCTGAGTTTCTTTGTTTTCCTCTCACATCTGAATAGTGGTTTAGCTGGGTTTAGATATTGGTCCATTTTTTTCTGACTTCCAGTGTTGCTGTTAAAAGTCTAAAGTAAAGTAGTACTTAGGTTGTGAACCTTTCTGTGTGTGCACCTCCCCCCACCCCCAGCTCTGCTCCTAGTAAAGCTTATAGGATTTCCTTGTCTCCATTGTTCTGATTTTTCATACCCATGTGCCTTGTGATGGGCCTAGTTATTGAACAATGTGCAGTAAACTTCATGATTCTGTACCATTTGGGAAAGTTTTTGATACAGTTAATGATTTCCTAAACTTTTTTTTTTTTGGTGCTGGTCCTGAGGCTTGAATTCAAGGCCTGGGCACTGCCCCTGGGTTCTTTTTGCTTAAGGCTAGTGCTCTACCACTTGAGTAGCTCATGTTTTCACTTTTTTGGTGGTTTATTAAAGATAAGTCTCTCCTACCTAGCCTAGCTCCAAACCATTATCTTCAGATCTCACTCTTTTGAGTAGTTAGGATTATAAGTATGAGCCTATTGGTATTTTCTCATCTTTTTTTTTTTCTTTTTCTGTTGTTCCTTCCTATTAACATAGATCTTCTGGATACCATCTAATTATTTTCTTTCCAATTTGGGAGATTTCTTCAAGTTCTCTCCCCCCCCTCTCTCTGTTTCTCTCTGTTTCTGTTTTTCTCTCTCTCTCTCTCCCTCTCCCTCTCCTTCTCCCTCTTTCTCTCTCACTCCCTCTCCCCCCTCTCTCTCAGGGCACTGTCCCTGAGCCTCTTTGTGCTCAAGGCTAGCACTCTACTACTTGAGCCACAGCTCCACTTCTGGATTTTTCTGAGTAGTTTATTGGAGATAGGAGTCTTACAGCCTTTTCTGCCCTGGCTGGCTTCGAACCTTGATTCTCAGATCTCAGTCTCCCCAGTAGCTGGGATCACTGGTTCCCAGCATGTTTACTTTCTTAATGAATTTTCCAGTTCTGTTCTTTTCTTTATTTAGTCAGTTTTAGTTTAGTTTTTTTTTTTTTTTTTTTTTTTTGGTAGTGCTCGGGATTAAATTCGGGCCTCATACATGCTAGGCAAGTGCTCTAGCAGTGAACTACGTATATCCCTCATCTTCTCTCAGCCCCTTCACTTAGATTCTTAATTTCCATGAACAGCTGCTGTTGCTGCTGCTGCTCCTCCTCCTCTCTTTCTTTTTTTGAGATTGCAGCAATAGAACACATTTATTATATGCGACTTACTCT